TAATTTCCCTCCTAAATTCACTGTCTCTATCATATATATTTTTTCTTTTTTCTTTTTCATAATCTCAATGCATTTCTTTTGCTGTGTTCTGCAGCTATAAGCAAAGAATGGAGAAGCTGTCGGCCATACACAATGACCGTCCCATGCAGCCCCTGGACCTTGCAGTCTACTGGACAGAGTTTGTTATGAGACACAAGGGGGCAGACCACCTGAGACCAGCTGCTCATGAGCTGAACTGGCTTCAGTACCACAGTCTAGATGTGATTGGCTTCCTGCTTTTTATTGTGCTGATTGTAACTCTAGCAACATTTAAATGCTGTGCTCTTTGCTGGAGACGCTGTTGTAGAAAATCGCAGAAGAGGAAGGAAGACTGATTGTATAAAGATTAAAATGTGGTATTGCTTAAAAACCACATTTTCCACATCTACTATTTTTAATTCAGGTGCCATCATTCATGAGAATGTCATGAGAAGCAACCTGACTTCTAGCACCTGACTACTGAGCCAGTGATGTTTCTCAAAAAGCCGCAGTTTTGTAAAGAGGGAGCATAAATCAATATTTTGAACTGTAAAGATTTGTTTCTTAAAATATTAGTTTACATGCTTTCATTTTGATATCATTGGTCACTGCTCACCTAGAACTGTAGCCACCAGCATTTTTTTTTTTAAATCATTCAAAGCAACCCACTGTAGGCTAAACAAAACGGCAGGTTCTAGCTCTCATAATCAACAGGAATTCAGGATAATGGAATTCTTTTAATTAACCTTTGTCAGGTTAGATGCTTTGTTTTATATGACACAAGTGAAAGGCTGTGAAACAAATATAAGCTTGTCTAATTTCGTTTTTGTTTTTTATATAATACAAGGTTCAATAGAAATGTTTTCAATTTCCATGTTTCATCGACCTTATGATCACCATCAAGGCATTCAAAATGTTTTAAATGAACTTAACTGCTTACATTTTTTTCTGTAATTTGCCCCCATCGATTTTTCTTTAATTTCACTCCTAAATGACCACCAATCAGTTTTTGTATGAACAGAAAATTGCTGTTGTGCACTTGTAGCCTCTTATGATCTGTAAAATCACACTCTGTAAACTTGAAAAAATACAATTCTAAAATATGAACACAGCAGTGCTTTTTTTATGAAATACAAAAAAAAATTAATTCTCTTTTCTCACAAATTTTAGTTGCACTTATCTGCAAACTGGGAAAAACAGTAAAGCCTGACATAAGTTTCATTTCTACAGAAAGCTATTTGGGGTTGTGCAAGAAGAGAAAACAGATCTTACTGTTGAAAAAAAGTCTCATTTGAAAACGTACTGCTGTATCTCTAGTTTCTAATACACTAAACAATGTAAAATTAAAAACCTGCCCTTATACAATAAATAAATATTTACACTGTATTGCAAGTCACTAACACTTTCTTAAAATGTACTTTTTTTTTTTACCGACCTCTGGTGGAGGGGAATGATATATGACGGCAAATTTATGCAAAAAAAAATAAAAATAAAAAAAAACATCCCGCCGCTTCTCATCCTATTACCTAAAGATGCTGTAGGCACGATCACTTTGAAACTGCTAACCAAATAAAAAGTACACAGACATTTGTACTTGGTGTCAAGGACGTTATAATGTAAGCATCATTAATGACCCCTTGTGTTTAATTAAAAAAAAAGATTGATTAGTGAAATGAAAGAATGATTTAATAAAAATAAAAAATGAGAATGATTAGTATTTGTCTTTAATTGGCCTTATTAGCTAAGCCCGCAAAACACTTCTTATTTAGTGGTACAGTACTGCATGATTTGTAGATTATATTTAATAGTTTACACTTTGGTCTCATTTGAAAACGTACTGCTGTATCTCTAGTTTCTAATACACTAAACAATGTAAAATTAAAAACCTGCCCTTATACAATAAATAAATATTTACACTGTATTGCAAGTCACTAACACTTTCTTAAAATGTACTTTTTTTTTTTACCGACCTCTGGTGGAGGGGAATGATATATGACGGCAAATTTATGCAAAAAAAAATAAAAATAAAAAAAAACATCCCGCCGCTTCTCATCCTATTACCTAAAGATGCTGTAGGCACGATCACTTTGAAACTGCTAACCAAATAAAAAGTACACAGACATTTGTACTTAGTGTCAAGGACGTTATAATGTAAGCATCATTAATGACCCCTTGTGTTTAATTTAAAAAAAAGATTGATTAGTGAAATGAAAGAATGATTTAATAAAAATAAAAAATGAGAATGATTAGTATTTGTCTTTAATTGGCCTTATTAGCTAAGCCCGCAAAACACTTCTTATTTAGTGGTACAGTATTGCATGATTTGTAGATTATATTTAATAGTTTACACTTTGTATAAACATTTGCAATTAGTTTTTAAACGGTAACATTACATTCTTCAGGACTCTATGCTTACATTTATCTTTAGGAGCGCTTGTGCTCCTACTTAAAAAAAAAAAAAATAATAATAAAAATTAGAAACACCTTCTGATCAATGACAGAAATTAACCTTCCCATTATGAGGCGATATTTGACTCTTTAAAGGGTAAAGTTTACCTTTGTAATGCCATGTTTTCTAACTTTATTAAATGTGTCATCTTTTTGTGTAATATATATATATATATATATATATAAAATCTTTTATCAAAAATTTTAAATAAACAATAAATTCAATTAAAATAAGATAAGAAGAATAGGATGAATAAGTTACCAGTCAAATGAAATTAGCATTAACAATTGATCTTTTCACTAGGAGGTGCACAGAACACAAATTAAGGAATATTTACAGACTGTTTAATGTGACTCAGAGATTAAGGTATTTAAATTCATAATAACAATGTTATGAGATTAATGTTTTAAATATAAAGTTTTGAAAATAGAAATATTAAAGGATTTAAGATAAGTTATTATACTTTAAAAATGAAACTGAAACCGCCAGTAGGTGGCGGCAAGTCTTTGTCACTGAATCATTCATTTAATCGATTCGTTCAAACGGCTGATTCGTTTAGGAACAAGCAAATGACTCCCTTTATGAATGGGTCATTGAATCATTGACTCACTAGATTTGTTCAAAAACGCAGATTCATTCATAAACTCAGCTGTGACTTTGTTTGGCATTATTTTCATTAATAGCACAATCAGACAATAGTGTTCTAAAATATGTCACTTAATATTAATTTTGTATAAAATAAAAAATGTATAAAATTGTTGTATAAATTCTCAAGCGCAGGGCCGCACCAGTTGCACCCCCCTAAGGATGGCCCTGGCAGTTGGAACTGGAACGCCGCCCCCCCTCGAAATTCACTCCCCGGACTCCGTCCCCCCGCGTGCCCCCCATTTCCAGCCCTGCTAGTGAAGGGGAGTTCAATGAATCAAAACTTTTGAATGTATTCACTGAAAAAGATTCATTTACTGACTCTCTTTGCAGGTTATTGTTTTATACTAGAAGGTGGTGAAAAGTGACTCATTAAGATAGCGAGATGAAATTATTGAAGGAAAAAGATAAAGCATTTTTATTCAAAATACTCATTTTCGCTACACATTTCATGCTGTCAAGAGTAATGCACTTTAGAGACATTTTTTATACTGGTCACTGTTTTCATATTCAGTCATCTTTTAATCTGCTAATACAAATCATACAGTAACCAATTCATAAATAAGTCTCTGAAGGGAGAAGGAATGAATTACATGAATATGATAAGTTATTTAATTGAATGACAATTAGACATGTTTAAATAATTTGATATTAAAGTTGTGGTACAATCTGGCTTGATACATATTATAATTTACAAATTCCAGAAAATCTGATCAGATCAGCCCAAATATAATCATCACTTCACGTCAACTTACTTTTAAAGCCCTATATGGTCTACTTTATGGCCTGCTCTAGTGATCTATCACGCTACATTCCACCACGCTCATTAAGGTCACAAAACTCCAGCCTCCTGATACAGTAGTACATAGAACATCAAAAATATGAGACGACAAGGATATATTTGGTATAATTTGCATATGCATTATTATTGATGTGTATATAATTTTATGAAAAAGAAAGACATTTTAAATGCATTACTCAACAAGATTCTCAAATCTCACATCTTGCATATTAAAAATGTATTCAATGGACCCATGATTAATACTACAGCATATAATGTAACTAGATGTCATGCCAGAGGATGATGGGGTCCGATTCCTACCCAAAGCTTCTGTTCATCACCTAAACAACTCATAGAGTTGTTTTCCTCGCACCATTAATCTTTGCCTTGCACTATTGGAGCATTAAGGCATGATTTTTTTGTAAAGCTGCTCTGAGACAATATGTACAGTATTTTCAAAAGCGCTATACAAATAAACTTCATTTAGCCTGACTAATGACTGAAGGTATTCTTAAATTAATTAATGAGGCACTAGCATTGTGACTGCAACAGAGAACATCGTATTAGCTGCCACAGGAGGTAAAGATACATAAATAAATAGCAATATTGATGGCATGATTTTTTTGTAAAGCTGCTCTGAGACAATATGTACAGTATTTTCAAAAGCGCTATACAAATAAACTTCATTTAGCCTGACTAATGACTGAAGGTATTCTTTAATTAATGAGGCACTGGCATTGTGACTGCAACAGAGAACATCGTATTAGCTGCCACAGGAGGTAAAGATACATAAATAAATAGCAATATTGATCATTTTTCAAATACATAAAACACAATGTTATAGGACAAGACGCTATGGCAGTATTCAGCTATGGTCAGATTATTCATCCACTATATGGGCACAAACAATAATTCCATTCTAAAAAAAACAAGTGTCATGTGTGTGTGTGTGTGTGTGTGTGTGTGTGTGTGGAAGAGAGACAGAGAAAAGAAAAAAAAACAAAGTTTGTGTTGTGATGTACACATTAAGTGTTACAAGTAAAGTTTCTTGCGTAGTGTGTGTGAGAGTTGAAAGTGGTACTCATTGCCAGGAAGGAACAGAGAACATCGTATTAGCTGCCACAGGAGGTAAAGATACATAAATAAATAGCAATATTGATCATTTTTCAAATACATAAAACACAATGTTATAGGACAAGATGCTATGGCAGGATTCAGCTATGGTCAGATTATTCATCCACTATATGGGCACAAACAATAATTCCATTCTAAAAAAAAAACAAGTGCAGGGTGGGTGTGTGTGTGTGTGTGTGTGTGTGGAAGAGAGACAGTGAAAAGAAAAAAAAACAAAGTTTGTGTTGTGATGTACACATTAAGTGTTACAAGTAAAGTTTCTTGCGTAGTGTGTGTGAGAGTTGAAAGTGGTACTCATTGCCAGGATTTTGTTGATTGTGACTAACCACGTTTCTGTTCACCTCTGCCATGACGTCCAATAAAAGCATCTTTCTGCAAATTTAGGAGAAAAATACAGAAATAAGGAGCTTTTAATTACAGATTTAATTTAATTTAATTTACAGACTTAACAGCAAATGCTGAAAAAGATTTAGCATGTACACATGGCCGGACGCCATTTTTCTATACTAGCATAATACTTTCCTTGTCACTTGACATCATTCACAAAAGCCAAAATGTTCAATTTCATTATATATTCCGTTCTCTTGATGTGTTGCATGTGACATCTAGTGGTTGAAAATTTGTATATAGCACCTTTAATATGAACTAAGAATGAACAATACTTCTATAGCATATATATAGCATTAGTTAATGCACTGCAAACTAACATGAACAATGAACAATTGTATTTTTATTAACTAACAATACCAAACATTACTAAATGTAAAAAATATATTGTTCACTGTTAGGTCATATTCGTTAATAGCTAATACCATGTTTGTTAGCAAATGAGACCTGTAAAGTGTTGTAAAGAGATGTTCCTTTCTCAAAGTGAATGTTCAGCATTTTTACGTGAATGAAATAATACAGCAAAAAACATTTGTTGTTCATAAAATTGCATGATTTTAAATATTTGAATTGACCACTGTTGAATTAAGCGCTATTTGAAATGTATCATAAACAGTAACCATACCTCTCACGTCCCCGCAGTAAGGTAGAGCTTAACGCATGCATGTAAACAGACTGGTGGCCAGACCCTTCCAGCAGCTTTGCCTCTGCTCTGCACACGCTCCAAAGGACATCCGCAGACACTGGGATAGTCCTTGCGTCCGCACATTGCCTCCTAGAACAGTGGCATGTTGGCGCATCTGTCTCTTGGTATTCATCGTCCATTGAGCATGTATTTGGGGCTTCTGAGGTCCTGTAGATCAGGGTAAAGAAGAGTTTGGGTTTACCACACAGAGAGGGACAGTGGGTTGGGCTGAAAAGCTGCCTGAGATCCTCCAGCCTGATGCCAAGGCGACTAGAGTCCGTAGCCAACAGATGAGTGTCCGTTCCCCTGCTGATGATGCAGCAGACAAAGCGATTGACCCCATGAAGGATCCTGTTGCGGGTCAGGTCTTCCAAGACCTTCTGGGTTTCTTTTAGACCCAGGAGAGAGTGGAGAATGACCCTGAAACCCAGACGCTCAAATGTCCGATTCAACAAGTCTGAAAGGACACAACGTAGATGTTTAGACGCAGATGTTTTATGCAAGAGAGCATTAAAGAGCTACAAATTCTGTTCCTTTTTTCATATTAACCATACTTTATGCCAATTTGTAATTAAAGGGAAAAACAAAATGCTATGATGAACATTGTGAATTTCTTTAGAAAATCAGGGGTGGACACTGGGAGTTTTTAAAAATGTAATCATGAAGAGTGTTTTTCCCCAAAAATATTATGACATCAATGTGGTTGCAAACAAGTTTACTGGGGGAAAAAAACCTAGGTCAAAACTCACCACATATTTCTCATTTAACTCTTAATACACACTCTATATCACACTTTCATTTTAATACATTATGTATTAAATACACACTTACCTCCATCAAAGCCAACACAGTCAATAATCATACACAGATTCCTCTGCTCAAGATTCATTTCATACTCCTCCATAAAAGCCTAGCAGACAGACAGTGGGAGGAACGTCTTATAACCTACTCAAATAAAATAACCATCAGAAAAGACGATAGATTTCGATTACTATTTACAGTATTTGTCAAGTAAGAGGCTGATTTCTTGCCTCTTGATGTTGTGTCCCTGTTTCAGGCACTGAAAGCTTCAAATTTTTCAACTCTAGAAAAAGAAACAATGTTATGAGTTAATGTTAAAAGTCTTTAATGTTATTCAAAGGTACTATATATAAATAAACAAACTAACAAAAAGTCACCTTGAGAACAGCATTGTGATTGTTTCACTGGTTGAACAGGAGACTGATGTTGCACAGGGGCGAACTGAAATGAAGGAATAGAGAGAAACATTTTTACAATAATTAGTAAAAATGTAATCATAATGTAACATACTGCATCTATATATTCAGTACAGAAATGTATTTCCTTAAAATGCATGTCTTACCTTAAAAGAATTCTGAACCTTCGGGACTGCACATGGTACATTCTGACCTGAAGAAGTTACAAATTAATTCTTTAGATTTAATTATGCATTCATTTATTTACCTATTATTTATTTTAAATATTTTGGGTGGGGCACCGCTCAAGCTTGGTAACTGGAACCATGAAAAAAAAAGCATCTACAAATGTCAACCATGGGTGCACTAGGTGTTTATGCCAGGTTTTTGTCACAATTAAAATCATTCAGAGCTGCAATCCAATCAATTAATCAGATGTAATGTCATACAGAAAATCTGCTGAGAACTGGAGTTTATTCTAGTTTATTAAGAATGTAAACAGCCCTGAGGAAACCAGTTTTTTTTGTTGTTTTTTTTTACTTTTAGGTGACAAGAAATTCAAACAAGAACCAAAAGAAAAGCGATCTCAGAAATGACTGACCTCTATTCTTATAGGCCTCAATTCTTTCGACAAGGTCCATTCTGTGAATGTTCCTCAAACACTGCTCAAGCAGGTCAAGCTTATCACAAGATACTTCATCTAACTTCTCCAACTCCACCACCACATCTAGAAAGCACTAGAAATCAAACGAAATGAAGCAAACATGAAATAAGCATTCACATTACACAAACCCCATTAGAAATGGAAAAGTGGTAGCTTTTGGACTTGATCGTGCTATATGCACATTTATGTTCATTTCAGTTTCTTTTAGTACAAATATTCTGAAGGTTTAACATGCAATGTCTCCTGTCTTACAGTAGCTCTAGCTAGTCTTTCTTTGGGCAGGGTACTGCTCAGGAGGAATATAAGAGATTGTAATTCCTCATCCTCCAGGTTTTCGCTCACATCTGCCATTAGAACCCTGTGTAAATGAGATCAATTCAAAATACACAAACTTTCAAATGGGTGAAAATATCATTCATGGATATTTCTGCATGGGTTTTCCCCAAGAGAGTGCTCTAATAACCCCAAAAACATCAATGTCAGGATCTAAAATAAGGCTTTTCATTATCATAATTATTAGTTTCACCACATTTCTCATACAAGAAGGAAATATCTCAGACATTGAGATATGCTATTAAGAATTAATAGCATAAATTACCTGTAATCTGAGAGGACGCCTCCCTTCTTCACAATTCCTTCTACCTGTTGTCTGTTGGTGCCAAAAAACTTCTTTAGGATATCAAAGCGCTTCATTCGGAACATGAGCTCCATCAGTAGGGCATCACCAGCTTGAGATTGGCCTGCTTGAGTTTGTGTCTGTTTGGCAAATGCCAACAAAGCTCCTCTCAAATCTTCCACACAGATGTTGTTGAACAAATCTGTACAAAGGTACCGTAGGGTCTTACACTCCTCTTTTTTAAGAGATGCAGTCACATTGTTAACCATGTTAGAAAATCCATCCGCCATTTCACTGTATGATCCTGTAGGTTATAGTTTGGGTCATTTTAACAGCCGGGAGTATGGAATTTTATTATGCATTTTAAACATCTATTTGTTTACTTAAAAGGCTAGTCAGGGAAAAAGTGGAAAAATTTGCTATTTGTCCTTTTTTTTTGAGTGATTATTGAATGAAAATTGCATTTATCATGCCATTGAGAAATAAATCCACTGAAGCCTCATTCATCACATTCTAGAAATCAATAGCCACTTTGGATTTACACCTGTAAATGACAAAGCACACACACAACATGAAGCTTTTTTTTATTTTTTTATTCAATGAATGTGAACAAATGGAAGACAGCCGCTTGGGCCAGACTTACCTTCAATGTCCTTAATTTAGAGAGCCAAACGTTTTGGTGGTGTTGCCCGCAGACAGGCTTATCTCCTGGTGACACTAAACGGAAAAGGAAAAGAAGAAATGTGGCACATAAATAAAAGATAATGCGATATCATAACGAAATTATATATGGATATACTCAATAAATACATAGTGCATTTAAAACTCTATAAACGTTATATTGTACATAAGGGTGGATTGACTTCCTGGGGGTTTATTTTGCATTTTGGACAACATAGTTCACGACTTTAGCGTACAGAATCTTGGAATTTATACACAAGTATTAATTTCAAAAGCGAAACTAGCCTTCCCGTCGAATTCAAGGGGAATCCCGTGAAGGACTCGGTCGCTTTCCGTTCACGTCTCTAGTTTACTCTTATTTCTGTCGTGCTTTACAACAGAGATCATGAGATTCGATTTCTTGGAACTATTCAAAGGATCCGTTTCAAAACGGCTCGAGCGATTCGTTTGCGTCTTCACGGTGAAAAGATCCGACTCAAAAGAATGATTTGATACATGAACATGATCTTTTGATTACACAAAACAAAAGCATTACGTGTCCATTTAAGGAGCGCATAGTTAAATGCCAATAACATCTGTAACCACCTATAAAATAAGATAGATAGATATATTATATTTAAAAAGCACAAACTACGCCACTACGTCATCATGTGTCAAACAATATACATATTTTGATTTTATAACAACTAGATCAAATTATCTTTGAATGACCTTTGACTGTGCAACTACGTATTTCATGGAAATGGTATGAAGAGTTAATACTATAAACAAACAATAGGTTAAAATTTTAAATCTTACTAAAAATATCCCATTACAACAGAAAGGAATACTTGGCGTTTGCCGATATATTACCGTTGACGCTGTGTGGCTTCATCTCCCTGACGAGACCCGATCAGGCCTAAAACGAAAGTAACTGAAATCCACGCCCTCAAATGGGAATTCTCTGTCTACAGTCTACACTTTCAGTTGTTACAGTTTCACATGCTCTTACTCATTCTAAAGAATATTTACTTCTTTCTTCTCATTACACTTAATTAGTGGTGATTCTATAACAGAGCTGTTAAGGAGGGTCAAGGGAGGGAATGCTTGTTGACAAGCCGCAATTACATTTTTTTAAAGGTTGGGTAATTAACTTGTATATCTCTATGGCACATCTTTTACGTAAGTCTGAAAGGTTTTAACTTTTTTGACGGTGCAAAAACTATACAACTGAAACAACAAACGAAAAATTATTTATTATAAATGGTTGACAATTAAAAACACACCCAGTGCATATATATTTGTGAAAACAAAACGTTATCAAGTTCATGCTGTAAAACAAAGTTTGTGCTTTGAGACCATGTTTGCAGATAAACAGGCTATTTTGTGCCAGGAGACAATTGTTCATAATGCCATTCAAGTGTTGTTTGTGTAACAGTTTTAAGGCTGGCCTAACTGCTAAAAAACAGGCCAAGGTCTTGTAATATGAGCAGCATGGGGAGTGTTTTTTGTATAGCATAGCAGCTGTAAAATTCCCCAAAGATAAACAAAAAACAATAATCTCTTGTGCAACAGACTGAAACTACTGATGATTACGATTACTCCTTCTAAAGGCGGTTTATATCAAAGCTGCTCATTCACAGATATAATACCATAGTGTAAGGGCTTTTAATAACTGCATAAGAGCAATTTTGTCTTTAGGTATTTTAAATTTTTGTTAACATATTTCAGGTTATTCAGATCAGATGCATAGATCTCTGCTAAGATAGTTACAGGGTTCCCCCACTTTTTGCGGAACAAGTTTTCAATTACCATGGGAAGCCTGCATTTAGAAATGATACAATACAACAGTATGCCTACATAAACAACAGATAAAGTTGTAAATGATGGTTGTATATGAAGAGGAAATGAGTGCTATAATTCATACCTTTTTCTCAGAGCTGAACTATATATTGGAGTTGAGTTTTTGAGGTGCAATATGAGAACCAGACACCGCCCCATCTGAAGTAGATGTATCATCCAATAATCTGTGAATGTCCTCTTAAAAGGTTTTTGAAATGTAAGATGATCTTCTGGGACAACTGAGCCAATATCCTTAATGCTTGTATAACAGTCTGTGGTTTTTAATGGCTGGTATCCTTGGTGAACACTATTATAGCACCATTGTTGTTACACCTGTGGAAATACAAAGCATCACACTGTTTCAAACACAACAATTCAGTGATTTGGGACATACCCATACTTGGATATGAACTAATATATATATATATATATATATATATATATATATAAAGTATACAAAGTGTAAAATCACAAAGTGTAAAAGTTCATTTGCCTGCTTAGAGTGTAAAATGTTGCTGTTGTGGTATTCAAGTGAAAGTATCGGTCAGATTAAGAGAGGAAACATCTGCTTATCAAGTATCATCAAAGAGTGTGTGTAATGTGTATAACACAGGACAAATGTAAATATGTAACATACTTCAGAGTACTCAGAGTGTACATGACATACTGTCTAAAAAATCAAAGCCAAAGGCATTAGAACCTCCCTTATTTTTTTTTATTGGATATGGAAAGATAATGTGCTGAATTCTTAGAGTAACGTTTTTGTGAAATTTTACAATAAATAGCCAAAACACAGTGTGTTTCTAACTAATTCATTGATAATTCCCTATCAGAGCATGTACACATCTATAAAACTGTGCAAAATGAAGACTTCTTCTGTGGAACATAAAAATGTTTTTTGTTCATATGGTACGGTTCATATAAGTTAATAGGAACCAAAATGGTTTGGTTATCACCAGTCTTCAAAATATCTTATTTTGTGTTCCACACAAAAGGTTTGGAACAACATTAGGGGTGAGTAAATCATGGCAGAATTTAAATTTTTTGAGTGAATTATCCCTTTATATGAATGCTTGGGCTTGAAAACAAGTTAAATGCTGCCAAAAATCATTTTGACTCATTTTTTATGTTAACTCAACAACTTGAGTTGACAAACTCACTGAAAAGTCTGGAGACCTATCCTGTCCAAGTCAAAATGATGTTCTTCAGCATCCCACAGATGCCACGGACAGAGCTTAACTTGTATTAACCCATAACATTCCTTGAATCAAAAAATTATTCCTTCTTTTCAAGTTCACAAAGTAGAAGTGTGCTCAGCATCTTCCATCCTCTTCCCCTGGAGGGTCCCGGACAGAGTGTCAGAGTCCAGCAGCTCAACCACATTGTACGGGGCGCAGTCCTCCAACCCCAGCTTCCCACACATCCACCCACAGAAGCCCTTCTCCAGGTCCCTCACCGCCAGCCACCATTCTCCAAAAACCCAGGAGAGCTGGGTCACGGCGGCATACACCCCCATACAAACACACAACGCCATGATAAGCACCGGGTATAACAGAATGAGCAAGGGACACACCGTGATTTTGTGCAGGAAGCTGCGTTCCTCATTGTAAACCAGGAAGACGTTGTACCAGGTGAGCGTTCCGTAGTAAAACGATGTGATGAAGGAGAGAAGGAAGATGAACGGAGAGCAGGAAAGGCTCCAGAGGAGAACATGAGGGCCCTGGCTGACCCCCAGTGCACAGGGTTTTTGCTTGGCTTCTGCGGCCCCGTCACATTCTGCATCCAGACGCTCTTTGGAGCGTGCCATGTCTCTCAGCTCTTTGTCGGTAAGCGTCATATAGATGTCTACCATTTGGCCTTTCCGCTTTCCCCGTGTGATGGTGCCAGTTAGGGTCACGAAACGGCTGTCAGGAGGGATATCCTCTTCTTCTGTGAATGAAAGATAAATATTGAGGAGGATATTGCATTAACAACACATTTCTATAAATAAATCTGTCATGCAGGAAAGAAAGAGGAAATGCAATAAACATTGGAATGTATACAGTCCAAGCCAGCAGGCACAAAACACTTGCCTTGAATTAATTACTAATTACAGAAAACGAGCACTTATTTTACAACTAATAATGTACTATATTACATTTATAATTATTAAATAAAATGCATTAAAAATGTTGTGGCAAAAATTGCAAATATTAACTGTTTATACATTTTTGACCAATGAAGAATTACACACTATCGTTAAAAAGTTTGGGATTGGTATGATTTTTATTTTTTATTTTTTTTAAACAAGTCTATAGCTCAACAAATGCTGCATTTATCTGATCAAAAATACAATGAAAAAAGAGTAATATTATAAAATATTATTACAATTTAAAATAACTTTTTTTTATATTTTAATATATTTTAGAATTTGTATTTATTCATGTTTGGACAAAGCTGCATTTTCATGATCCTTCGGAAACCATTCTAATATGTTGATTTGGTGCTGCTTAATATTTGTGTAGAAACTGTGATACTTTTTTGTTTTTGTTTTTTTGCCATTGATGAATAGAAATTTTAAACAAACAGCATTATTTAAAATAGAAATCTTTTGTAACATTTTACATTTCTTTACTGTCATTTTGGGTCAATTTAATTAACCCTTGCTGATAAAAGTATTACTTTCGTTAAATAAATAACTAAATTAATTAATGATGATTAGTATATAAAATGTACTAATGTTTCTAACTTGCAAGACACACCTTTTCTAGGACTGGTAATTACAAATATATACTTCCCTGAGATTGCAAGATTTTCTGGAAAAAATCTGTTAACCAGAAGACTGTAAAACAAACAATACCTAGATAACTGACATAAAATGATCAGCAAGGATAAAAAATAAAAGATAAAATCATGTCATATTTAATATGAGGATAATTACTCATGGTCTCAATCTGGTGTATTCTGGATAGAAAGCACACGTGATATGGTGCCATCATCTGTTTTAACCCATTACAGTAAACAAACAAATGATGAATTTCACTGCACTTGAACAAACATCACGCTACAGTTCACCCCAAGTTATCATATTTTCACCTTCGTCAAGTGGAGGACTAAAGGTTCCGTCCACATCTGCTGAGGTTCCCTCCCCAGCATCCTCCACCTCCAGGTCAGAGCGGTAGATGATCTCTTTCTTTTTCTTCTTCTTCTTCCTCCGAGTGGTGGTTCCCTCCTCCTCTGCTGACCTCTGAAGCGTGTTCACTGGGGTCTCCTCTGTCCCAATCGCTCCCTCCAGATCCAAACCAGTGATGTCTCCAGATGCCCCTTCACTCATGACTATGAAGCCAGAGAGGCTCCTATGATGTCAGTGTGCAGCTCAATCAACCTTTTAAGAGGTTTGCTTCTAGAATGAGAGAAAAAATCACAACCGCCTGTTATAGGCTATACGTTACTTTGTTTTGCGCTGCATTGCAATACATCACATTTTAGGAGCTGGCATTGTTTATATCAAGTCACACCCCACGCGTAACGTACTATCTGCTTTACTGATGCGAGAATACACGGTTCTTACCTCGAATAAACTCCCAAACAAATGCATGCAGATGTCGCTTGTTTATTCCGTTTATCATTTGCAAGTGCTCATCACGTGCAACATTTTAGCTCGGGGTTTATTATTATTTTTCGCCAGTTCCACACTGAGGACAACGCATCTCCCCTCGCGCCGCTAATGCCATTGTTTGGCCAATCAGCGGCGTGCGCGTGCTCGCGTGCAGCGCTCTGCCTAGCAACCTGACTTTTTGGAGCCTCAATTTTAAAGGGGTCATATGATGCGATTTCAAGTTTTCCTTTCTCTTTGGAGTGTTACAAGCTGATTGTGCATAGATAAGATCCCTGAAGTTGCAAAGACTAAAGTCTCAAAACCAAAGAGATATTATTTATCAAAGTTAAGACTCTCATATAGGACCTACAATAATGTACAGTATTTGAAAAATAATGTGTTTTTTGAACATTAAAGCATGTCAACATATTCTGTTACTCCAAATACACAAAATAATGATCTTTAAAAAAGCATCATATGACCCCTTTAAAAAGTTTACATCGTCCTCAAGGATGGTGGGAAATTCTGGGAAAACTGTAAAAGCATCATGCTCATTTTCTTGCTATAGTAAAAATAATCAAACTATATTCAATAAATTTAAAGTATAGGATATTTCTGAAAGTCTGGTATACACTTTTATAGGCATGTTCATTTCTAAAAGTTATTGAGCTACAAAGTACTTAACAGAAATGACCCAGCAAACTAATGAAATTGCTTAAAATTTGTTAAAACAGAAATTTATTTTTTTTAATCAATAAAATTATTATTATTTTTTTTTAGAAATCTTACAATTACAAATATTCACAATATCATACTATTACACATATTTACATTGATTAAACACAGTTCTGAAACAACAATTAGAGTTCAATTTTACAATAAGAATGATACAAATCAGTGGGCATCATGATGTATTGCAATTCCGAGCAAAAAAACATTTGTGGTCCACCCACACTGTGAGGAAGAGCAGCTGTTTGACAGTCTAGACTTGTTTTGTTATGATTCACAGCTTGGATTTGGTCATGTCCATGATTTCTCTCAATATGTCTGTATTTTCTCCCTCTGGGGCTGGAGGCCAGGCAGTGTGATCTGATTGAAGAGATAAAGTGAAACAGAAAGCGTTTGCATACTCAAATAGTAAGAGTCAACATCCGTTCTTGATTTTGAAATAACAGCATGTATTATGCCGTCATCTGGCCAGTGGGAAACGGGTACCTGGTATTTCCCACACAGAGTGGTAGAGGCTCTGTCCTGCATCAACCTTCAGGGTTGCTCCAGTAATGTAGCTGGCAGCCGGAGACAGCAAGAAACATACAGCTGGCGATACCTGACACAATGAAATTAAATATTTAAATCTCAGGTTATTAAAACACTAATTTTGTAATTACGCATAAGAGACTCGAAAAAAAAAAAAAAAATCTGAATTATTCCAAACTTTTGACTAGTAGTGTATATACATACATATAGCTATAAATATTGTATATAGTTTTAAAACGTCAACATCATAATAGGTTATAAGATACCTCCTCAGGAACACCGAGTCTTTTAGCCGGACTGAATGGCACTGACATCTTAAACATAGTCGGGCCAATATCTTTGTAGTTTTCCATTGCTGTTTTGGAGATGATAGTTCCCTACATTCAAAAAACACAAAACACACATTTCTGTGGTATAAGACCAAGTGGAAGTTTACATTACAGTTGAATTAGAATTACATTACAGATAATAAACACATGCTATTAAGTAAAAACTTATTTGAGGCCATGGAAACATTTTCAGGAAAGGCTAGTTTTCCACATTTAAATTGCTTAAATTTACATTTTCATTTTGTGGATTTATCCAAAGGAACATGCAAATGAAGAATATAAATCAAACATGGAATTTTTTTCAATGTCTCCCTGAGTGGGCAAATACAGTACATGCTTTTAAATTGTTTCCAAACTGGCACTAACCGGAGCCACAGAGTTGATCCGGACCCCACTATCAGCCCACTCAATAGCCAGGCTCTTGGTCAGGTTGTCCACCGCTGCTCTGGCAGCTCCTGTGTGGCTGTCATAAAAAAGCCCAGCAGTTTAAAAAAAGTAAAAATGCATTATTGTGAGAGGATTTTATCAGCCAAAAAATGGGAAGTAAAACGCAATATTTTTATTATATTGTTACAATGTACAACTCACGCCATCCTAGGGAAGCCCTTCCACATGTCCGCAATGATGTTTATAATTACACCTCCATGATCTTTCATCCATGCATTGTATGCTACGAATTAAGAGCAAAAAATTGACTGAGAGTAGCCTTTGAGAATTTGTTATGCAGAATTGTCGACATGTCAGTTCATTTATGGCCAGAAATGAGGCTTGCAATTTACATATACAATCAAAACAAATAGCAGCTAAACTGATGTCTCGCATTTCACATTGCCATATATGCCTGACCTTCTCTGCAGCATAAGAACGTTCCATTGAGGTTGGTGTCAATCACAGCTTTCCAGCCTTTTGCACTCATCATGTTCACTGGGCTGGAAAACTGCCCACCTCCATTATTCACCAAAAAGTCAATCCTCCCATGAAGCTTCAGAGTGGAGGCCATCAGGTTCTTTACCTGTCAAAAATAACCTATACTGCTATTATCTATAAACAGGAATTGCAGTCATTTGCCGGTTGGAGAAATCAAATTTGATCCTATATGCCTTGCTAAATTAACACGCTAAAACAAAGACTATTTTACACATGCTTCTCTGGCATAAAGATATAAAATACAGGTTTATGAGACTGTCACCTCTTCTTCATTTCGGATGTTGCACTGTATAGGAGTTACTTTAGCTGGACTGGATGGGGGGATTTTCTGCGTCAGCTCTTCAGCTGCTGACTCCAGACGATCAAGCTTCCTGGATGATATAACCACACTGCAGCCTACAACATGAGTGATATTTGACACTCTAGATGTTTGTATAAATATATATATATATATATATATATATATATTTAATAGTTTAAGTACAAGATATTTATTTAATAGTTAAGGAAAAATACTTCAGACAAAACTATTTTTTATTTTTTTTTAAGTAATGGTCATTTTGAGATTTTGGCCTATTTTACTTTCATAACATGTCTTCTTTCAGTGGAAAAAATAACATCTAAAATACACATTTATTTCAATTATAATACATCTTTAAATACCACTTATGTACACCAAACTTGACGGTTTTATACCTATCTACGTTATGGAGGTTTTTACAGAGATGTTTGCTCATAGATGATTCACAAGCACTGTGACTTTTTTTTTTTTTGGCTGTCGACAGTATTTTTTTAATTTATGGAGTGATAAAAAAAACTCTGTAAAAAAACTTTAATATATTAACAAAATGAAAAAAGAATATCTATTCTGGAAATTAGTAAATATTTAATTAGACAGTGCCTCATTTGTATATATAAACAAATGTAACAGAAATGGAAATTAAAATCTAAAAGCATCAAATATATTGTATTGGTAGTAATTAAATATGTCATTACTAATATGTGATGTGTGTGAATTGTGAAAAAGAATAATAAATTAGTGACTGATTGCTGTGTTGCACAATATCTGGACTATAATTCACTGCAGTCCTGATCTAAAGACAGTCAGATCCATCTGTAAAACTTCTAGTAAATGCATACCTAACTGTAAGAGCTCAGAAGTAATAGCTTTTCCTATCCCAGTGCCGCCTCCCGTCACGATTGCAACTTTGTGATTGAAAAGACCTGCTTTAAAAACACTGGACGCAGCCATGTCTGTGACGAGACGGACTGTGAAGCAAGAGTCAGAACAAAAATGTTTTAAAATAAAAGTCTTTTTCCGGTTGTGTTGAGCTAACTTCCTGTTCAGCGCACGTTTATTCTGCCTGGGAAAATTCTCCTGCGTTTACAACTTTTAATTATAGATATTTGCATTTTATTATTATTGCAAATTGTTATTAATATTTTTCGTACATTTAAATAAATAAGCAATGTGTATTAAAAAAAGCATGGAAGATTAGATAGCAAAACATTTAACTTTTTTTGCTAAGATAGCAAAATACAGTTATTATTAAAACACGAAAGACATCTCAGTATGTAAAACCATGATTTTATTTTACAGTATGTACATTGAAACAAAACGAAAATTAATTTCATAACCGTATTAACTTGTCAATCACGGACAAACAACAAGAGAGCATAAGGAATATGTTGTTCTTTTCTTATGGTGGAATTTCCTTTACTTTCAACAACAGTTCTGAGCGAGATTTAATGCCAGTCCGTGTTGCTGAAAGTTTACGTCAATTCACAAATTCCAACATAATCTTCTAAATAGTGTGTACAGCACTCAAATTACATACAAACACAGCTGGATGCAGACAGTAATGTCATCCACATAACAAGCTTGTGAACTCAGTCTTACAGTCTGATTTATTTAAAACGATGTAAAAACATCCTAATGATTTATTGCTTATTAGGATTATACATGTATACACATTTACAAAAAAATATGTCTATATATCTATATATGTTATTATCTGCATGGATTTAAACATACACTTACATATACACATCAACATTTTAATAAGATTGTGCAAATTTGAAGTGAGTGCATACCACAGAGTTAAAAACAATTACAAGGGCCACCGAATTAAAAGTTGCTCAATAAAAACACTATTTGGCTTTATATAAAAAAGTAGAATAAAAACAAGCAAATAAAAATAACAATGTTAAGAAGGCAAGTCTTGGAAAGATGGGCACTTCAGCTTTGTGATTCCTAAACTATTGCATTTAACAAAAATGATCTGCCCTAAAGGTCATTTTAAGTAGAACCCAGCATCTCACAGTCCTTTACAATAGCCAACGCTGCCACAAACCTGTACAACATAAATGTGCTGATATCTACACAACCAATACAAAGACTACTTAACAATACTATGTCTGTATGTACATGAATTAAATACGTGTCTTCAAGCACTTGTGTGGTTACGTCAAAGTGTGAGTAGTGGCCAAAAAAAACCAAAAACATTTGTTTGTGTGTGTTTCAGGTAAAAAATAAATTAAAACTGCTACAAGCCAAACCAAAGCGAGGCCTATAAAACAGATAAGTGTGAAAGTGCATACTGTAGTATATCGTGCGGTTACGGCCCGTCTGTTCTCTGAGATCTGAATATCCTACTCTGAGATCTTTATGTTCGTTCAAGTCTTCCTCTGTGCTTTCGGTGGTTCAACAACAGTATATCTGTGGTTCTTCTGAGATGTGGCCAGTTGTCATCGGGCCACATGAAACCAAAGGCTCTTGTAACTTTGCATTCCGGCATGTAGTGTTTTTATCCCATAATTCATTGCAGTCAGTAGCTGTTTTCGTGGCCTGCGAGGATGTAGAGATTGCTGTGTGCTGTGGGGTTGTCTGTTGGTCGGCTCTCCAAAACCACCACTCTAAAAAGATTGAAATAAAAACAAATACAAATGACCTGATGCCCTTTCTGCATACATATGACCTACGTTTGGCACACCAGTAATAAAGGGTATGATATTAATTACTTAATGATTTAATAATTGGATTGCTTCTTCTCACCTGTCTGAACCCAGCAGCCTGAATATCCTAGAGTTGTCAGAAATCTCCTGTGTAATCTGGAATATAAAATGTGGATAGAATAATGGGATTGCACAATACGTATGTCATTTAATTTATGTATATAAAAAAAATCCATTTTTTTGTTGTTGTTGTTTTTCTTAAAACTGCTCTCTGAAATACTATATATATATAAATAATTGTGAGTGTCAGAGTGTGTATGTGTGTATATATATTTATACAACAGTTCGTTCTGGTTCTCAAATCTGATTGGTTGAGAACCGTGAGATATTGTACTGGTATCGCTACAGGAACGCCCTTTCACAATTTTGTATCACTACACTTGTTCTAGCCGGGTCTATGTTTTTTTTTTATTATTCACTGAGCTAATCGTAGAGTATCCAGAAGGCCAACACACTGTCTTGAAGGCAAACTAAGAGGAATAGATGGATGCATAGAGCGAGGGAGTTATTAAAACAGAGATATAAATATATATATTTTAAATAAATTAAACATTTTGCCCATACAAAAGTGTTTAAATATGCCAAGAGGCTAATTGCTCAATTCAGTGTGCTTAGAAAATGGAGTTATATTTACTTGAGGCCATCGTTAATGTGCCAAGCTCTCATACCTATTGATTCAATCTGGAAGTTAAAAGTCAGTTCTGCTGAGAGTTTTCGACTGGACTTCAACCGACCTTGCAAATTTACAATCTTAATGCACCCTAGAGAGGAAGAAGAGAGGCAATTAATCATTATATCTGTTTTTTATATGCATGCATCTGTTATTAATCTATTAATGGCATGTTCTGTACTTACGATCTAAGCAGACTAAAATTGTATCTCTCTCCAGCTGGGTCACATGGATCACACAGCTCTGTGGGGTATCTGAAACAACAACGGCAACAATTTCTAGAATTTTGCATTTCTAAAATTCTAAAAGAGTCAAACCGGAATGAAAAGCTAATTTAAAAAATATATTTTTTTCTAAATAAACAGTTGCATTAACAGGCAATTTTAACATTTAAATTATTCAATTAATATTTATTAATAAATGTAAAGCAATTAAATTATTCATAAATGTAAAGACTTATCTTAATCAGTGTGATAATGGTGTCATATTTTAAAGTACCCACCAGAATCAAACCAATTGGAGGTAGAGTTGGGGTTGAGGGTCTCGAACCGCACCACCTGGTTGAGCTCTGTCCCTTTGCTCACAGCCATGCAGATGAGAGGATACTGATGCTCTGGAACCACCAGCATCTCAAAAACCTCCAGCGGACACGGCAGGGGGAAGTCTATGCTCTGCAGGGAACGAGTCAGTGCTTAATTTGGAACAGCGTGCATGTAAAAATACCAAGTAAAGCAATTTTAATTACAAGTCTTAAAGGGGTCCTATTATGCTTTTTCACTTTTTCAACTTTAGTTAGTCTGTAATGTAAGATCAGCAATTTTACAAGCTTATTGGAAGCATGAATAGCTAATAATGTGGCCTACGTGCTACATGCTGTTTCCAAAACCTTGAGTTAAACACCTCTCCTATGGATTTTAGTGTAATACTAATCTGCATATCACTCTGTAACATTCCCTGTGTCTCATTGCACCCTCATATGGCCGCATATTTCATTGAGGATGTCACGTTTTTAAAAAAGTAACCATTATGAAAATTGACTGTAATTCCTTGTGAAGCTTAAATGACTATAATGTCTTACACACTTTGCAATGTAATGATTACTTTTCTGAAATGAGGCAGCCTCAATGACGCATGCGGCCAACAAATGCAACCTCCAGAGTGCACAGCCTTCAAAATAAGACACAGTGATGGGAACTTACCTTGACCAACATGAATTTCTGCATGGACTCCACCCACTCAAAAAGGACAACACTGGACTGAAAGGCACCGCACAGGTACTTGTGACCAGTATATGGATTCCTCACTGAGAATAAACAAGACAACATAAGGAAATAAACACAATATAATACCTTAAATAAAGTCTGTTTGATGATATCATCAAAGTCATCTGAATTAAAACAGTTATGTTACTTCATATTTTTGTGGAAACCGTGATGCACTATAATTCAAAAGTTTGGTATAAGATTTAAAAAACAAAATGATATTTTGATCCAACAAAGATGTATTGAATTGATCAAAAGTGATCAAACAGTAAAGACATTTATAATGTTAGAGAACATTTCTATTTCAAATAAATGCTGTTCTTTTTTCTATTCATCAAAGAATCCAAGAAGAAATGTATCACCGTTTCCACAAAATGTGAAGCAGTTTTGAAATGCTGACCTGTTTTCAGCATAGATAATAAATGTTTTTAGAATAAAATTGTTTTTAGAACCAAATCAGGATAATACAATGATTACTGAATGACCAGCTTTCAGCTTTACCATCGCAGCAATAAATTTCATTTTAAAATATATTCAATTTTAAAAAGGGTTATTTTAAATTGTAATAATATTTTCCAATTTTTTTTTTAAATAAATGGAGCTTTGATGAGCAAAAAAGATTTTTTCAAATACATTACAAAGAGCTTAAGGTTACACTTTATTTCGATAGTCCACTTTAGACATTCTATTAACTATAAGTAACTTTGTAACTACATGTCAACTACATGTCAACTACTTCTCATTAATTTGCAACTACATGTCTACTAACTCTCAGAGTAGACTGTTAGGGTAGGTTTAGGGTTAGTAGAATAAGTTGACAAAGAAAGTGTTAGAAGATATTAAGCAGACAGTCTACTAATACTCTACTAACTGCTAGTTGACATGTAGTTGCAAAGTTACTTAATTTTAATAGAATGTCTAAAGTGGACTATCGAAATAAAGTGTTACCGAGCTTAATTATTACAAACTACCGCCAAAATACAGCCTAGTCATAACATCATCCAAAGTTATAGCTATAGCTATATATTACTGAATTCAGAAATACAGAAATTAAATGATCTGCTTACCTACACAGCACTTTTGACACCCTTTTGTTTCAGGGATCTTAGTGGAGATTGTGAATTTCCTGAAATTCAAATAAAAATGTAAAATAGCGTATATTTACATTTTGACTACTGGTCATATCCTTAAGTTCAGACACCACACAGAGATCTGAACATTTACCTGGGGATTATTTTGTCAGGCAATTTATGTGTTGGTATGGCAACAGGGAGCTTCTGCATTTGTCGAGCATGTTCAAATAGGCCCATCAGACTGTGAGAGTACAGATGACATGCTTTTCCTGCCAAAACACAATCTCATTATTCAAAATAGGGATACAGGACTATGTCAGGTAACACTTTACATACATGAAATGTTACTATAGTTAACAATTCTAGTATTTTCACATTACAAGCAGTTCTACTCTGTAATGTAAAGTGTGACTCAAAAATAAAAATATCATTCTAAAATTGTAGCAATCATAAAAAAAGAAACTCACTCTGACTAATTTGTAATCTGAAAAGCTAAACCTGATTTTTTTTTAAAGCACAGCTTACCGGATATTGATAGCAGGCTGTTGCTCATGACATACAGCCAAGTACATCTCCTGGGTAAAAGCTGAGAATGACACAAAAATAGCTTTAGTACAAGACAAAAAGACTGACTCAAGAAGCACGCCACACTCAGACAATATAAGGATATAAAAATACATCACACAAACTGAGTTTTTCCCAAACACTTTTCTTTTTCATTTTTAAATGAATGCTTCTACTTAAAAAAAACATTTGTTTGAAAATGTCTGAAAAGTAACATCACACCTGCTCCATGGACGTCTCGTGCAGCTCATTAAGGTTTAATGTGTAAATACCTTCCTCTGCTCCAAATATCAGATACTGGTCTGAAACACATGAACAGGGGAGAACAAAACACACTCAGAGGTGGTATCAACAAATGCTTCAGTAGACAATATCAATGGATACAATAAAGGACATACAGTGCACAGCATAAATGAGTACACCCCCTCTGATTAAATATAAAAGATGTATTTATATATATATAGAAGAGCTTTACTACCACTGAATGCCACTGTGGGAACCAGGCACTTCTCTCTGTACTCCTCCTCTAGCAACACCAGAACATTTTGGATGCTGTTAGATCCGAAATGATTGAATTGGTCTCATGAGACCAGAGTATGGATTCCCAGAAGTCACAGCTTTTGAGACACTTTCACAGTGTTTCTCCTGCTCTTTTTCTAGCAAAAACTCACTCATCAGTAAATTCAGTAAATGAGTGAAGACCTGATTATTTCAGGGGCCTTTTCACAAGTCCATTGTTTTTGAATT